ATAAAATGGCGAAACCTCTTGCAAACAAAATTTTAAAGTTGCATTAACCTACCAACCACTCGATGAATATTATGATCATTGTATTTAATAGCTAGAAGCTGTATAAGGTCTTTTTTTTAATTTACAAGTACTTTCAACTGTACATTAAGTCATCCTCAGGCATGGAAATTATTTTGTTATTAGTAAAATCCAGGTAGCATCAGAGATGAAAAAAATAAATTTAATTTTTTTTTTTTACCTGGATTTTACTAAAAAAAAATGATACCTGAGGATGACTGAATGTACAGTTGAAAGTACTTGCAGATTAAAAAATTATACAGCTTGTAATTAAAACAGGATCATAATATTCATCGAGTGGTTCGGAGGTTAATGCAACTTTAAAATTTTGTTTGCGAGGAGTTTTCATATCATTAACTTTACTAATCTATTTTTTTTGAATGAATATTTGTAATATAAATCGAACTATATTTATTTATATATATATATATATATATATATATATATAGTGTGCGAGTCAAAATTATGTTAAACGATCGCGTGTATAGGAAAAAAAAGTTAGTAACGTCGAAGAACTCAAGGACAGAATAAAAGTGTAATATCAAACATTCCCCGTGAAATGTGTGTCAAGGCAAAAAATAGTACTGTTGATCGCTGGTATTTTTTGTGCATCAGTCGTGCTGGTGGAAATGTGGAGACTGTTCAGCAAACACTGAATAAATGATTTCTCTCATACTAGTGTTATATAATTTTGACACGCCCTATATATATATATATATATATATATATATATATATATATATATAGTTTCACAAAAGTAAGTGAACCCCTCAGATAATATATCTTTCCATATAATCTATAAATTTTAAATAAACTATATATTCATTAAGAAAAGCTTTTATTAAACGAATTAAAACCACTTTAGAACATTTTATCAATGTAAAATAAGAATATTAATTAAAATGAAGATGCGCAAAAGTAAATGAATCATTACAAAGTAAAAAAGTAACTGAATCCTTACACTCTGTATTTCTGCTTTACGTGGTTGTCAGTGGAAATAATTTGTAAAATCAAAATGACAGGTGTTCATTTTTTGGTAAGCTCTGAATACTGCAGTCAACTAAACTCATTTTTTATGCAAAAGGGTGCAATTCGAGACTAAATTTAAAAAAAAATTATGCCAAGATCAAAAGAATTTCATGAAGCTTTAAAAATCGCATAGTTGAAGCCTATAATGATGGAAAAGGCTACAAAAATCTATCAAGACGATTCGGAGAGCACGTCTTAGCCGTGCGTCAAATTATTTATAAATGGAAGGCCTTTGGTATGACGGCATCGTGATCAAAAAGTAGCCGTCCACGAAAAAGGACTGCAAGAGCAAGTAGACATTTACTTCGGCAAGCCCATGGAAAATCCTGATGTGACCTCTGCAGCTCTCCAAGGTTGCTTGGCCAGTGTCGGAATCTATGTAAATACGTCTGCAGTTCGTCGAAATCTGAACGATACCAGTCTTCATGGCAGAATTCATAGCAAAAAGTCACTGCTTATGAAAAAGCACAAACAAGCTCAGCTCAAATATACTAAAGCTCATATTAATAAGCTAGAAATGTTATGGCAAAAGATTTTATGTTTGGATGAAACCAAACTAGAGCATTTTGGGAGGAATAATAGACGGTATGTCTGGCGAACTCTTCAGTGCCAACAATTAAACATGGCGGAGGAAGTATTATGATTTGAAGGTGCTTTGCCGCAGCTGGAACATGCAAAATAGTACGCATTGACGGCATAATGGACTTTGAAAGATCTCAAGCAGTTTTGATCGAATGTGTATTGCCCTCGGTTAGAAAGTTGGTTTTGGGTCAGGGATGGATCTGCTATCAGGATAATAATCCGAAGCATCAAAGGAAATCCAAAAAAGAATTGGCTCTAAAAAAGAAATGTCACGTCTTGAAATGGCCTCGGCAAAGTCCAAATCCAATTGAAAATCTATGGCTCAAGCTAAAGAAGGCAATACATGCAAGAAACGCATGTAATATCGAGCAATTGTGTGAGTATTCCCAAGAAGAATGATCAAAAATCGACGCTCACTACTGCCGGGAAACTTCTCAAAATTAAAAGTCTGGTTAATGCCGTGATCTCAAAAGGAGTGTGTGTGTGTGTGTGGGGGGGTCACCAAATATGAAATGTCATGGTTCACTTCCTTTTGCGCATCTTAATTTTTAATTAATATTTTTTATTCAAAATTCATCAAAAAAAATAAAAGTGCTTGCAATTCGATTTTTAAAGATTCTTTATAGTTTAAGATTTATTGGTTATCTAGAAAAAAGAGATGACTGTTTTAATATTAGAGGTTCATTTACTTTTCAGCAACACTGTATATATATGTGTGTGTGTGTGTGTGTGTGTGTGGATGTGTGTGTAAAAGGTCAATATGAAGAAAGACAAAAGGATTTTTTTTTTTACCAACGCGTTTCGTCCCCTGAGGGAATCATGGTATATGTAAGGATTTTAGTTCGCAACATGCAAATAGAAACGGAATTAATGTGTAGGAAAATATAGTTATGTTTTCAAATTTAAAAACGCTCTAAAATGTTCTTTAAGCTAACTTTATCCGTCATTAGATTATATCACTTACACTCCTCCATAGTTAACATTTTATTACACACACACACACACACACACACACACATATATATATGTATGAAGTAGTATCGGAAAATTCCCGAAATATACCTGTTTTTAGCTATATATTTCTGTTGAGTGAATCAGAAAGAGAGATTACATTTCTTGGACTCATCACGAGGAAGGTGGGCTTGGAAAACTTAGCCCTCACAGAGCATATCGAGGGCAAGGGAAATAGAAGTCATCGGGTCACCTACACGACGAGCTTGAGTAAATGGATGGCTTAACTAAAGTGGGGCGATAGACTTGCCAGAGAATGAAACGCTGATAAGGACCACAATGGATGGGCGTTTTTGGAGAGCCATGAATTCTGGAACTTTCCCTTATCACCTCGAATATATTCAGTTCGGGCCGAAAGTTTCTCTAATATTCTTTTATTAACACAGTTACATTTCAGCTTGCATAGTTATGTGAACTTTAATAAAAAGTTTTTAATAAATAAGTAATTCATAGTAAAGGTATTAAGGAATTATGGCAGGTGCGTCACGTCTAATAAATTTTGAATATTTTTTTATTTAAAAATTACCAATTAAAAGGAAAAGAAAAACAAAAAATCCTTCTCCAAATCCATTTCCATTTCAGCTAATGTCATTTTTCATTTAGAACTGTGTTAATAAAATACTACTGCAGAAAATTAATTTTCCATATATATATATATATATATATATATATATATATATATATGTATATATATATATATATATATATATATATATATATATATATATATATATATATATATATATATATATATATATATATATATATATATATATATATAAATAACGTCACACATTATGAAATGGACAAAAGTCCGACAATTATTTTTAAGACATTTTTTATGTTCATACGTTCTTTTTATAGATACAAATATCTAAGTAAATGCTCTGTTTATAATAAACAGTATTAACAACATTTACCAGCCTGAATGTCCGAGAAATTATCATAGAAAATATGCATCCTCCGACAGGAATCGAACCTGTATTCTATACGGAACCGTCATGTAGTCTGAAAAGCCTTAACCGTTTACATTTGTTTACATTTGGATACGCATTGAGCAGATATGAATATATGCATGGAGAATTGTGTTTAAAAACAGTAAAATCGACCTTGATAACCGAACGCTCCTCTGTGGTCCAGTCGGTTAAGGCACGTCAGGCCATATGATGGTTCCGTATAGTATACAGGTTCGATTCCTGTTGGAGGACGCTTATTTTCTATAGAAGTTTCTCGGACATTTAGGCCGGCAAATGTTGTTAATACTGTTTATTATAAACAGAGCATTTACTTAAATATCTGTATATATATATATATATATATATGTGTGTGTGTGTGTATATACATACATATATATATATATATATATCGAAAAGGAATTAATCAACACTGCATAGTGGTAGTCAGTTTCATGCGTGAATTCAATCCTCAAACCAAGTGCCATCAATTTAGTAGGCCCTATACATCTGCCATTGAAGGGTGAAGGGAAGCCAGGGAGGGAAGAAACTGTCCCTTTTCAGTTCTTTTGTTTAAGGCTAAAGCAAAGGATTAATTATGGTCATGAGCAGTGAACTGCTTATTATTTTTATATATTCATTCATTATTCATCTGTATTTATGCATATAGAAATGAATCAATAAATAAATGAAATATATAAACTGAATTAATAAGAAAATAATTTCTCGCACTGCCCGCTTGTGGAACTTCCTTCCCTGCTCTCCAGTCAACTTCAATCTGCAAAAATTAAAATGCAATGTCAATCGCTATGTACTCTCTTCTTGAATACTCTTTTCTCTTCCATTCCATCATTAATGCTTCTGTTCCTAATTCTTCCACACCCTGTAACCTAGTGTGTCTTAGTGGCTTTAATGCTTTGCTTGTCGTGATATCGATTGAAAAAAAGAAAGAAAATAAGTGATCTGGGAACCATGAATAACCCAGTGGAATATATATAGATTCTTTTAATGGAGTATTGTCACTTAGTCGAAAGATCGATGTGTAAAACTGACAGTCACCATGAAGTATTGATTACTTTGTCCACACTGTTTATATCTATAAACGCTCTATCTCCGATATTGAGCACACTTCCTCCCGTAAGTATAGCAAATTGTAAACAATATATATAAAAATCACTTTAAATACATAAGTAGATACACACTCACTCACACATATTTATATTGAATGATATTCCGTATGTAGTGGACACATATACACACATATATGTGAGTATAAATTTTAAATAAAATATTTCAGCAATTATTTATTGCTATTTTTTTGCATTTAAAGTTTTCGTTTTTTTTTTCTTTTTTTTCTTTGTCACCATTTCACCGCACGTCTTCCTCGTCTGAATCGATCATAATTTTTGGTTCTTTTCGGGGAAAGTTCGAAAGATGCACCTTGACGACATTGTTTTTTGGGCGTTTTGGTTTGGCCCTGATGAGCAGACCTATACTCTCGCTTTTGGCGCCAATTCGCGGTTGCTGGTGCATTTGTAGTAGGGCATTCCCGTTCAAAAACCACTCATCGGATTCTTGTCTTGTCTTCGCATATTCTTGCTTTTTCGATGTGCCATCAATCGATTGACGTTTGGTGAGAGGCCGGAAATCTTGCATGCTGCGAATGGATAAAATACAACGGAAAAAATTCGATAAAGAAAAAGAAACAAAGACAAACAAACATTCATATGGGGATTTACAAGACAAGGGCAGAGACACAAGTGCAGGGTAATAATAGAAGACTGACTTAATTGGAATGGTGTACTTAATGTATTGCAGTTATAATAAGTGCCTTGGGTACCAATTAAAAAAAAACTGACTTTGATAGTCAGGGATGACAAGCAAAGATATATCCAAATTATTATAACACATAATTTATTAAAAAGAAATACACAGGTGGGAGCTAGAAACTGAATCATCTGACGAAGGAAAATGTGGCGCAGAAATATGAAGACGCATTGGATAGCTAAAGTGAACATGTAGTGTTGAGTTTTATGCCCACAAAGATTATCTCGCTAAGCTCTCTATATTCGATAACACACATTATTTAAATATAGCATTATTTATAATATATATATATATATATATATATATATATATATATATATATATATATATATATATATATATATATATATATATATATATATATATATATATATATATATATATATATATATAAGATATCTAACTAGTGACAAGACAGTTGGGTTTCGATCTCGGCTTGAAGCAACTGAACATCTAGTCACACAAAGCAGCTGCGATTCAGCAAAGCAGTATCTCTGTAGTTGACTGTGTATAAAGTAGACAACGTAAGAGAAAACACATTTTATTAAACACATTTAGTCTAACAAAGAAATCGTATAAATATATATAAATATATATAATGGAAATAAATAAATGTGAATATTTATGTAGGATAAAGAACAAAAAAGAAACGTTTATCAGTCTAACATGTTTCACTTTATATAAAATTGACAAACACACACACACGTGTGTGTGTGTGAGAATTAGGATCAAATAAAGATCAAATATAGATTAGAATGAAGGATAAAGAACAAATAGGAAAACGTTTATCAATTTTATATAACATTATATAAAATTTTTCACTTTTATATAAAAGTGAAAATATGTTAGACTGATAAACATTTCTTATTTGATCTTTATCCTACATAGATATTCACATTTATTTACACACACACATACATATATATATGTGTGTGTGTTTGTGTGCAAAAAATTCAGATAGAATATATATATAAAAGGACAATATGAAAAAAGGCAAATGTACTTGATAATGTTCCTCTGAGAACGAAACGCCTCGGCTAAGAGACGTTTTCTTTTTGTCTTTTTCATATATATATATATATATATATATATATATATATAATTACAGATGATCCTTAAAAAATAATTCGGTGATAATATATATATATATATATATATATATATATATATATATATATATATATATATATATATATATCAGTTTTTCAAACAAATACAAGAAGGGAATGAAAAAGAAATTTGACTGAAGTTTTTAAAAGAAGTGATTTCTTTGTGATTATCACGCCCAGGTCGTTGCATTCTACTACCTTTAAGATAAGCAACTAAAAAAAGCTGAAGATGACGGAGCTAAATAATGAAACATTTTACTCTGCCATTTCTTTGTGTTCTACAAGATAGATGTCAAAAGGGTTGCGTGGTTAGAAGATAAAAAATCTTTTTGGAAATTTTTTTTCTTTATTTTTGATTCACGTTGCTTATTTGAATGTCCGCAAAAACGATCTGGGTGGAGTGAAAAAGATGGTTGGAAATATCAAGATGAAAGAAAAAAAATGTCAAGTATAGAATCCAAAAGTCGGGGATATGTAAAGAAATAGCGACCCGAGAAATAATAAAAAAAAAGGAGCCAGGTTTACAGGGGTTAAGCTAATCGCCTTTTTAACAGCAACTCCAGTTTTCAACGTTCGAAACAGGCAAAGTCCTGGATTACAATGCTGATCTTCAAACTCACCTTTTTCACTTCGAAAATTGGCGAAACATAATCTTTCAAACACTTATCCGCATTTTGTCTTTAGCTGTACGAAGCTATGCTTAGTAGATATAACAAGGTGAACATTGGATTAAAAAAAAACAAGAATCCCCATGAAAGCCAAAGACAGATGAATCATTTGCATAAGAAAAATATGATTTTTACAAGGAAAGGAGTTAAACGAATGGAAATCCTTAGAGAAAAATGTTAATCTTGCCTAAAGCTAAACTTTGCACCCCCCAACCTTATTTCAGTAAAACAAAAACGTATAGTTCATTCCACTGATTTCCTTTTTAGAAGTCTTTTATTACTTACATTACTAAAAATGGCGTTAGACACCTCGAGGTGGTGTAATGGTTAGCAACGTTGTCGCGCTACAACTATTATGACTGATTAGTGAGTTCGATCCTCACTAGGTACCCCTTGGCTTGGAAAATCATTATCAAAAGTGGTGTTTACGTCAACATTTAATTTGCATAACAACTTTGTTTTTTATTTTTAATTCTAATTAAAAAAATGTCATTAGCAATGTTTCTGTCGCTATTTTTTTTAAATTCATTGTGTTTGTACAGAAAGAATTTATAACTACCTCGTTAAAATTCAGTCTTAAGTTTTTTCTCATCTCTGTTTCTCTGTCATATTCGTCATTATCTTCTTCTATTTGCTTGTGTATCTCAGAAGGATTATTAAAACTGGTTTCTATTTGTTCCTCTTCATGTGTCTCCTCTGGGTTGTTGGCATATAGCCCTTCCATGTTAGCGTTTAATCTATTTGTGTTGTTTTCTCAGATGTTTTGAAGTCCTGTAGCAGGAATTCTTTTATTCTGATGATGTCCCGCCTGACACTGACTAGTTTGTTTGCATCGATATTTAATCTCTTTGTGGGGGTGTTTTTCTCGCCATATATTAAAGGCGGCTTTGGTCATTGTTTTCGTTGTCAGATTTATCGCAGCAATGAAGTAAAATGTTATCATTACTTCAATATATTCTTCCCCAGACAATTTATTTATTGATCTTTTTGTGGGATTTTCTTTTACTGAATCTGGCAAAGGTTTTGTTAGGTACCGCTACTCACCAGTGTTTCTCAAATATAAAACTTTTAATGTTTCAAAAAATGTATATATAATTATTATAATACATAAAAATTTGATGAACAGTTCTGGAATACTAGTAGGAGTCTCTGCTTGAAGAAAAGACGTTTTCTAAATGTCTACTTAATTGCTTAGGCATAAGAAATAGGAAAGGCAAGCCAAGTTACGTTGCCATAATATTCTTATACATTCCTTTTTTTTTTAGCATTCTGTTGGTTCCCTCCACACCAGGGGTACGTTGGAGTGTATAAACAGCTCTCTCGAGTGGTTTACACACTCTGATACTCACCTGGCACAGGGCTCATCCCTGGCCTGGTGGTATCACGGCTACGACAAGCTTGAACCAGCTCCGGCCTGGACCAGCTATGACAAGCCAAGATCAGCTATGACTAGCTTAGACCAGCTCTTGGCTTGGACCAGCTAAAACCAGCTATGACTAGCTTAGACCAGCTATGACTAGCTTAGACTAGCTCTGACCAACTTGGACAAGCTATGACCAGCTAAGACCAGCTTCGACCAGTGGCCCGAGTGAAAACACTCGGGTCCCCAAGTTAAAAACTGACATTGTGTCACAACCTGACTCAGTGATGGTGGTGGTGGTGGTGGGGGGTCAAGTAAATATCTACTTACCGGGCACAGGGATCCGTCGCTGCGCTGGTAGTATCACAGCTATAACTAGCTTGGACTGGCTCTGACCAGCTTGGACCAACTATGACTATCTTAGATCAGCTCTGACTAGCTTGGACAAGCTATGACAAGCGGCTCGACGGAAGACACTCGAGTCCCCACGTTAAAAACTGATCTTGTGTCACAACCTGACTCAGTGCGGGGTCAAGTAAATTAATACTAGGGGTACGTTTTTGATCCTGTAACCATGACAGTAATGATCGCCTCGCTGACTGGAAGACTTGCCTGAAGGAAGTAGAAGTGACTTCCACCTTTTTGTTTGATGTCCTCTTTTCTTCTTGTTTGCTTTCCTTTCCTATTTTCACCGCTTCCTTCTTAGAAAGACGCAGACGTTGCCTTTCCTTCTTTTCTCTCTTTATCCTCTCTCTCGGGAAGATGCTGCTTTTACTTTCTCTTCTTTGCTATCCTCCCGGATTTGACGGTCGAGAATATCCTGTTCATTTCTGTTAAGCAAACCCAGTCCTCCGATTTGTTCTTCTTTCTTTGTTAATTATTCATTGTTTTTGCATATTAATTCTATTAACATTTTTTACGCAGAAGCACCATCATGATGGCCTATGCTATCATGATTGGTTACTTATCAACCACATTTCGGCGTCCTTTTTCATTGGCACATCGCCATATTTAATTCAACTTAGCAACACAGCATATTGATTTAGTTTCCCGCCAAATTTTCTGGATTTACGTAACGACATTCTATGTGTGGCGTCTTCTTCATTTCAGCACGCCGCCATTTTTAGATTTTTCCCACATGTACCAAATCTTTTCATTCAATGGATTTCCTTTGAGTTTAATTTCAACTTTCATCAAGGAACATTTCCAAAGAATTACCACTTGCATACTACTAATTTAATCACATTTGCATAAACTCAAAGTTTGGAACATTTTTACGTGTTTTTAATATTTCACTCTTTACCAGGTCGTGGCTCCTTTCAGTTCTTACAAATCAACAAATGTACATATTTGTAATTAATTTGTTGGTTGTTTGCCAATAATAAAAATTTGCCCTTATTGTTAAGAAATCTGCTTTTGTTGTAATTTAGATATTGGTGTCAATGTTTTCCTGTATATTCTTTAAATTAAGATTTCTTGATAAAAAACAGCGACCCTCTGTGGGCCGCTACAACTTTATACTAATTAATGTACATATATACACATATATATATATAGTGAGTGTCGACCCACAAAGTGAGTATGACCACCACTGACATGTCCAATACGTCAGTCGTTCAACTCTGAACCGACTGTTCGGTTGTACTCTCTTCCTACGGACGGGCGGAACCCGAAGGAGGCTACCTAGACTTAC